CAAATGCCATTTGACTGATCTGTCTGCAGGATACTGTACAAAAGCCAGATTCTTATCGTAAAATGGTGAAATTAGCACAGTGCATCTCTACTAGCACAGAAGTTAGCGACAAAAAGATCACTGTGTGATCTTTTGTGTCACAAAAACAAGCTTATGAGAACTTTTTTTCTGCGCTGGTGATTCAAATCACTCTTACACAGAGAAGACAGAATAGTGCAGATTGAAAAATGTGCAAGACTTTTGTAGTTCTGACATACAAAGTACATATTGTACGTGTGTCTTCTGCTGATACAGTTCAGCTCTGAAATGTAACGAACTGCTTAAAACATCTTAGTACTGTCCAGAGCTTTTAAATGCATCTATAAGGCAGAAAAAACCTTCTGACTGGGCTAGCGTTATATAAACATGTACATAGTAACAGAGCAAGGCAAAAAAGAACCAGATATTACAAGGATTATAACTCATGATGATCTTGAGGAAAAAAAAATAGTCATAACTGAAAATGTTAGTATTGATATAAAGTTCATAATAGGTGTGTTCATCTCAGAATGCATGAAGTGTCTAAATACAACCATTTATATCATAAGCACTTCACCTTCTGAATTCTAATTAAGCTTGCCACTCATGCATATATAAAAATGTACATGAACATATGGGGGCTGTGGTACAGACATATTTGTCACATGTGATGATCTCAACCAAATGAAAAGTCTTTCCCTTTACCAGGCACGTGAAACATACTTCCCCTTTGCTTCTCCACCTATCACAGATAACATAATGAATGAATTTGGTTGCACTGATACATATTACAATACGAACATTTTTTGTAAAATGCTCTGAGGTACTTCCAGTTGTCTGATAGGAATTACGAGGAATACACAGAAGGTGACACACATTTTTTTGTCTCCAATTTGGGATGCCCTAACATATTGCCTCTATTCCAAACCTCTGTTTAGATCGTATTTCACTGTCTTAAGTTCCTACACATTTTAGTATAGCTTTAGATAGATGACAGGCAGACACAGATGACAAATATATATTACAATGGTCACACAAGAGAAATTTCATACTGAATAAAGTAGACATCTCATTTTGATTAGTACTTGGAGCTGTCTAGGTCCAAAAACAATACTAAAAGTCCTCCATTTTCTGTGCAATTTTTATCACTTATACGGCTGAGAATGAGATTTTTTTTTAATGTTTGACAGTTTTGTTTAGGCAGAACAAAACTTTGAGGAAACAAAGATGTTACACCGGGAAAAAAAGATATTTCTTTTTTTTGAAGTTGAATTTCAGAAGACATACTGAAATATAATTTGTTTTTAAGACCCACTATTCCATAATGAGAGTGGGAGTACGGGCTTATCTTTTGCAGGTTAACAATCATTTGGCTAGTTGAGATCACCTCTGTGCTTTAGAGTTTAAATTCATATTAAAAAGTTAAACAATATGACTTGTTCATATTTCAATAAAAAATAAAAATAAAAAACACCTCAGACTAAACCCCTCATTATAAGTAGTCCTCAGACTGAAAATGTGGTCATTAAGGTCTGACTGCATTCTTTAGAGGTTCCATTGAGAGGTGACTAAAGCTCCAAGATTGCAATCCTGGAGAGAATCCAATCATAATGCATTTTTACTATCAATTTCCCCTCTCTATAAAACAGCCTGGTTGACCAAAGTCACAGCCTTCCTTCCAGCCACAGCCTCCTCAATGAGCACATTCTCCAATTCCAAGCCCCCTAAAAGGAGGTACTTTTTAACTGGCACAGGTACCCAAAAGCATACATACGTTGCTCTATCAGATTGCCAACTGAAGAAAGAAATTAAATGCCCTCAACCACTCCATCCATATCCTCCATTTGACAGACCCTTTTCCATACTGTGCTGCATCTAATATAGTCCTGTTCACCCAATCTTCCCAACCAGCCCATTCATCTCAAAGCCATTAACTCTTCTGACTTGTGCTTCCAGGCACCTGTGGGCAGTGAAAACACGAAGTCTCTGCTGAGCAAAGTGAATCCACCTCTTTTCCTGGAGTGAGGAAACAACTCAACGCCTGCAAGTGGGAGCCAAAATGTGACATGAGCCATCGCCCAACAGCAGAAATAAGCCATGCGGTGCTTATTCAAGCCCACACAGTGACTCCGCAGTCATATGCTCTTCTACAACAGGCATGCACTCACAGAAGTAACAGGCAGCGCATAATTTCTAAATCAAAGAACTCAAGCCTTATCAGAGTATGCAGCTTACATATTTTGGAAACTATACGGCATAAGGAAATAATTTATTGACAGAACACAAATTTTCAAATATCTATGGGGCCCCTCATAATATCAAGACTCAGGCTTACAGCACAGCATAACTACACTGAACTGCCCTTTGATTGCTCTCCAGATACTCCAGTATGCTGGATATTTTCCAAGTAGTAATTAATAGAGTCAACACATTCCCAGTATTTGGTGTTGGCTCTGAACTACATAAAATTGTTTCTCCTGAGAATACTGAAATGAAGCACACATGAAATCACACTGCACACTTTCAGATGTGGAAATTGTAGACTATTTGGTATGGATAATAAAATCTCATCAACCCTTATTCATACTGGATAACAACATCTATTTTCTGTCAGAGCCAGGAACATTTAAAAAGCATGCTGTCTTCTCCAATTATGAAAAAAGAAAGGACCTTTAACAAAGCTTTACTTTAGAGCAGTACCAAAGTATTGTAGATAACACACTGGAAGCACCATGATGCAATATGAGCTCTCTATTCAGTTATCTACTGTCAAACACTGCAGAAGGAGTAAAAATCTGCAGTTTATATGGTGCTTACAGAACGGTTGTACTCACAGTAAAAATGAGGGCCAAACCCTGTGTTTATTTCTGGAAGATCTGCACATGAATGTTGTCAGAACCAATTTGTCTGGCTGTATGACTCGCCTCCAGCCTGTGTCACCACCTTGAAAGCTGAAAGGGTCATCGGAGCCAGCACGCCCCTGTGGCATCCTGTCCTCAGAACTTGCTCACAGAGATATCAGTTAATGCCTGGTAACCAGACTTGCTTTCTCATTCCCACCACGCAAGAAGCCACAGCTTCACCAGAGTACTTAGTTTCAGCTGTTGAAGAGGTCTAGGACTCTGGTGTCCTCTCCAGAAGTGCTGTGCAAGCATTTCCATCGGTGCTTCCAATACTATCCATACAAGATGTGCAGCCACGCAAGGTGTTACCAGATATTAATGTGATGATATCACATTACCAAGTCAGCCAGGAGAAGGCAATGCTGCAAGGGAAGGTCTGTAGCAGTTGTTGCACTACAGAGGTGATAAACACAAATGGAAAAGGGGCAACTGTAAAGAGAGGAAGGCCTAAAAAGCTTTCAAGTGCGATTGCGTTTTAAGAGAAAAGTTTTTGTTTTTTTTTTTTTCCTCATTTACAGCTTAGAAATGAACACTAGTTTGGTGCATACACAGCTTTTTCATATTCATACCAAACATAGCTCTTGCACAGGGTGGCAGGTATTATCAGATCCTAAGCATTAGCAGTTTGAGTGTCACATTTATCGAGCTGCTGTAGTTCTCTCAGCTTTCAAAATCAGACCCTTGGAGCATGATTTATTTAAACCTTTAAAAACATTGATGTCTAAGTGTTATTTTTCAGGTGCCTGAGTATCTCAGGGATAGCCCATGAAAGGAATATACAAGAAATTTTCCATGATCTTAAATTCACTTCACAAATATGGAAGGTTTTTAGAGTTCAGAGAAATAATACCATCATGCTAGGCTAGAGGGACTACTTGCTTCTGCAAGATCAAAATCTGAGCCTTCTACAATAGAAAATAATAGCATTTAAAAATATACACATATACATACATCCTCATCAGTTTGAGTCAAAGTAAATCATCTAGCTACTGGAAGTGATTCAAGCAAGGAAAAGCTGCCTTGCTGTGGGTAAATACACCTTTGCCTGATGCGCTTAGTCACATGATCTAAACTTTTGGGCAGACCTGTGCAGTGCCAGGAGTTGGACTTGATGATCCTTATGGGTCCCTTCCAACTTGGGATATTCTATGATTCTATGATATGTAAAAGAAATAAAGGTTTTTATTTCTCCTACTAATTGAATACAGGAAGTACATAATTTTCAAATCGGGCTTTCCTGTTCTAATACCAGATATCAAAACTGCATTATGCAGTCATAATTACTTCCTCTTCATTATGTAGTTTATAGGTAAAGAGGGAGAGTAAGACCATTGTTTCCATGATGGTTAAAGAATAAGGACATTCGGCAGAAGAAGTGATGCTGATAGGCACAGACATGACTGCATCTTTGTTGAATTAGCCAAAAAACTGTGTATTGAGCTTTTACTAGCTTTATAGAAGTTCACAAAGGAGAGCATAAAGTATGGCAGCACACATTTAACCTGCCAGAAATTTGAACCAGAATGCATTTGAACCACCAGATTGAGTTTATAACCTGTAAGAACTCCACGGTCTCTATGAGATCTGAAAATAAAATGAACTAGAAACAGGAGGAGAAGGGAATGAACAGTGGCAGGTGGTGGAGAGGAACCAAATGCTAAATAATCAGGTTGGGCAGACAATCTTGAAGCAAGGAGAGCCAGAACGAGGGAAGAGGCAACCTTCCAAGTAAATTTAGATTACTTAGAAGTATACATGTGAAGTAATAAACTCATTTCTGCAGTAATTGGTGGCACTAAGGTGACAGGGAACATAACATTCCAAGGTACTGGACACAATTCTTGCAAAGAACAGTTTGGGTTGATTTCTCCTTAACTACCTTTAAATCCTTAAACAAGCTGACAATGCTAGCTATGGAGGCATCCCTGTCCTCCTCTCCCACCCTAGAAAGTGATAAACAGTATTCACTCAATACAAAATGTGTATTTCTTACATATAAAAACAGAAAAAATTACACAGTCATGGTACCAACCAGCTCTTATGAAAGGGAACGAGGAAAACACAACAGACGCTACTTACATTCTGGTATTGCTGGTCTTGTTGATGATTACAGATTTTCCAGTTTGATCCACATTGTGATCCATTCCAAAGTAAGCTGCCACTCTGTGTACGAGCATCCTCTGATATGATGACATCTGAGGGAACTTTTTATAGTGATTACTAGTAAAAAGAAAGCAAATTACATTGATAATTACATTTCCCTCTGAGCTATAATTAAATGACAATAGCAATGCATTTCATAATTCAGTGGACAATAACTGAAAATTTCTCCTTTGTGTGTTCACACACAGATATTTGCTACAAGAAGGCAGACAAGAGAAAGCAATTGCATTTACAGTTTCTAAAAAGCACATTTCCACACACTACAAAACTCACACATTATGCTATTGACTAGACATGTTGTATATGGGGAAGAACTCGGTCCCCACATACACACACACCCTGCACAAACAATCCCTCAACAGCTTTCTGCCCTTGTCCCAAAGATCAGGCACAGAGCAATGCTGGAGGGCACATACTCATTTTTCCTCTCTTTCTGTCAAAATGTTTATTTCCCAAGAGTGTAATTTCCTCCTCCTCTTCTATTCTGACTCTCTACTTTTTAAACCTGAAGAAACAGTTTATTAAAAACAGCATATGGTAGTAACCCTCCCTCCCTCCCCAATGTTTAGTTCTGTTTTCCAACATGCTAGAATAACATAGCACACAGGGAAACCTGCATGATAGCATATTTGATTATGTCTACTTAGAAATACCTGAGTGGTATCCTCTGCACTCAGAGCTTGACTAGTAGTTTTGGACCCAAAAGAGTGGAGTGCCAGTAGAAGCCACTGAAAAATTATGACACGAGGAAAAACAAAAGGTTCTCATTTACATCCACTGTATTTTAAGTAGACCAAATGTGTCAGGAAATAAAAGCCCGATCTTGCAACGTAACAGGGCTCAAGAGTGCTGGGGTCCGTATGAGCATATCACTCACTCAGTTTGCACTTCTACACACACACATGTGACTTTGTAACTGAGTGTGGAGCTCTACTTACTTGTTGTCACTAATAAAATCAATAATTTCCTGTTCCATTTTCAAGAGTATCATTCTGTCCCTGTCAAAAAGAAATGCAAAGAACTGTAGCATCAACTACCAATAACCATTGTAGATTAAAATATGAGTACATCAATATTTGTAAGGCAATTCTACAAGCATGGTCAGCCACCATGATTAAAAATGAAATGTGCTTTGCCCTTGGCACATCTTGAGAAGATTCCACTCTGCATTGTTGGAACTTCCCTGACATAAGCAACAGATTTAGCCCTTCCTTCCTTAGCATGGTCTTAGAGTGCTTCTAGCCACATAGGGCTGTGATCAGTGGGTTGCAGATAGCTCTGGTGCTTTATCACCATTGACCAACCTAGTTCTTGAAAGAAAAGAGATGCTGTCCACAGAAATTTTCAGCATTTTGTCAGACACACATCTTTTCCTAGGCATTGACCATTAAGTGAGAAGAGTGGGCAAGCTAATCTAGTTAAAGGACACAATGGAGAACAACACCTTTGAACTATGACTCCCAGGAGGCAATGTTGCTCTCATTCCAAATACTGTTTTCAACTGGAAGTTCTCAGATGTTCCTTCTTTTCCTCCTTCTCCTGAAGAAGGCATGCAAAATTTTCCCCTGCATAGTCCCACACCTACAATTCAGCTTGACAGAGTCCAACACTCCTTAGCGCTTTTGAAGTTTTTAATGTTGTGCAGATAAAACAATTCAAGGACTTTATTATCTATACAAAAGGTTACACAACCTATTAGGTAACTAATTATTCATAGTTTTCCTTAATTGCAGTATTATATGGTATCTACTTAACAGATTCAATTGATTGAACATTTAAAGCACAAAGTATAAAAATGTAACAGATTCTTCCTTAGACATTTAGAGGTAAATTTAATTTTGTTATGAACTAACTGTTCCAAATAAAAATTGGAAATACCAAAAGCAGAATTCAGCACTATGCACCCAGTATTAATTGTGTACAGCATTGCCAGAAGAAAGCTACTTTATACTCACGTACAAGTCTTCAATTGTAATGACTATACTACTGCTAAAATCATGTAGGGGCTTTACGCAAGAAGTTAAGGACAAAGACCAGATGTCAAAAAGTGAAATTAGAAGATAAATTAAAAGGGGAGTAGGAATCAGTGACTTCTTATAGCTTTTTGCTCAGCTAAAAACCTACCTCCTTTACATTTTCCCTCATAACCATCTCCAGAACTAAAAAAACATGGTGTACAGTTTACAGGATTCGGTTTATAGGATTTCTGAGAATGTCAGCTACAATTTCAAGAGTACCAGCTCTAATGCAGAAAATACCTACCTGGGGTTATTCTTTAACGTATTAATGAGAAACTCATGCAAATCTATGCCTGTTGAGTCTGTATACTCTTGACTGAAATCTGAAAAATAAAAACAAACACCCCCCACTCGTTTATTTTATTTCAACGGTTATGATTAAGCTACACTGTAAACCAAATTTCATTTTCCAGTGACAATCTGTGAGCATATGTGGAGTTTACACATTCATCTGGAGTTCAGGTGAAAAAAAAACCTACTTTGGAAGCATTGGGTGGATATAATGTTTCACAGAGAACGCAGAACCAAAACTAGACACTGAAGGAAAGTGTTGGTTATTTGAAAATCATGAGGTATCTTCAGTGCCAATCAAGACCCTTCCATGCTTTTCTTTTAAACTTTGAAGTTTAAAAATAGTTTTATCCATTGATACATCTTTGCATCACTTAATATACGCTATACACGCAGAAAATGAAGCATTATGCCAGTGGGAATTTTATTAGCATTAACAGACTGAAAACCCAGTGATGCCTAAGAGTGGGCAGGTAATGGTGATGCATGACAGCAGTTAGAATTAATTTTTCAGTACTGTCGTACTGCCTGACTCAAAGGCGTGCGCAGATCTTCAAGCTGGCATGAACTGTGAGTGCTCCATTGAAGCCAAGTGACAATTCACACCAACTGCAGATCCGCAGCCAGGTAGGCAATGATTATTTTTAGAGATTACGTTGCAACCCAGTACCACTGACAAATAAAAGTACATTTTTTTAACACTGTATTTAGATACAAAAATCAAACAAGTCATAGAAGGTGGTAATAGATAACAGATAACTAATAGTAAATGGCAGTACAGATTAAAGGTCACAGGTGGATTTCCTTACATCATTTAAGAGAAATTCTAAAAGATAGAGGAGCAATACTGAAGAGGATTACTCTGCTGTCTATATTGTACAAATGACTTGTCAGTGTATTATCATCAACAGGGAAAAGTATTAGTCTTACACTTATATAATCACACCTTTACGCATATATGTTCACACTACCGTGATTAAGGGTTCAGAAGAATTATTTTTACATGAAAATATGTATATATAACATCCACATCAAAATAGTTTGGACGGTTTCTCACTTTCAAAGCCCAGCATTTGTACGAAAAACACTCATGCATACACATTTCATGTTCTGAATTGTCTCAATTCATGAATACATTAATGTTGTGTATTTATGCACATAAAGAAATGCATGCTTGTTAAAGTAATTATAACAATTTAAATATTTCAAGTTCACCTTTTGATAACATTCTGATCTTGTTTTTTTCACTGTTTTTATCTTTTTCTTTATTTTTATCCTTTTCTTTTTCTTTCTCATTGTCATCTTTACTAGTTTTGTCTTCTTGCAAACTAGGAAAACTTGAAAGTTGTAGTTGTATTGATTCCTGTTGGGAGGAAGAAGAAAAAGATAATTCATGGCCAGATTCAGTACAGTTCCCATGACTGTGTAGATTTGCATTAAACTGTGCATGACTAGAAAAGCTAAAGCCAGATACATTTCTTTCCTTTTTTTTTTTTTCCCCCTCCAGGAGAATAATGACATCTTAGAGGCCAAATTCTTATAGTAGGTGCATTTCTTTCCTATTGTTTGCAATCTATAAGCTTTTATTCTACTTATGTTAGAGGTACATTATTCTCCACTTTAATAACTCTCCTCCAAGAATTGCTAGAACAGTAAAATGCATTTCATATGGGCTTTAAGTAATTCTAAAATTTAACATCTATTAAATACGTGACATAATGATATATGGATAGATGCAAGGATAGATGCAACTCCCCACCCCCCCCCACCCCCCAAAAAAAAAAAGTTCACGTGAACTGCTTTGTACAAGAAAATGCAGTATCAGCCAGGCTGAGCTTTTGAGCTCTGACAGAGGAAGCATGCCAGTAAGTGATGAAATCAGTTGTATTAAGAGGGTTACTAAGTTTTTGGGTACTTTATATTTAAAGACTTATGCAAACAGGCCTTTAGCTTAAGGGGTGAATTGGTGAATTGTGCACCACTACTTCCTAACAAGTTGTGGTAAGTGAAATTTTCCAAGGCATCACAAATTTTATCCTCAAACTTCAGTATTTCAGAGTCTGAATCCTTTTGAAAGCATACCTCAGCTTTAAAAATTAATTAAAACCAAAAATTCAAGCTGTTTCACCTTTTCTGGTTTCCTTTAAGGAACTTATTATTCCCCATTTAACAACATTACTTTGTTTGGACAAAACACAAATTGATACATATTGAAAAATATAAATAATGCCATGATAACCTCCAAAGAAAACAAGCTGATTGTACAAAACTTAAGTGACCATACTTCTGTGTTCACATTTTTTGAAGAAATAAATGGCCAACTATATGCTTTGGTGTAAAAATGAACACTTGTGCATTAAGCTGTGACAAAACTCCCTGATAATGCAGTATTTAATACATGAGAATCCTGCATGCCCAATAAATTTCTGGTATCGCATTAATGAAATCCAAATTTACCCTTAATAGAGAAAATCTGAAATTCTTGAATGCTAGTAAACTCCCTTATGTCACAATTTTTCAAAGAATACCAGCATTCCAAAAATATAAATATGAAACTTTAAAGTAAGGGCTTTTCTGGGTGGGTTTTATTTTTATTTATTTAATTCTAAAGTAACCAGGTCATTATGAATCCAAGTGATACTTTCAATATATTTTTTAAAAATAAACCTTAGGTTTCTGGATGTGTTTGAGATTTTTTTTGTATGTGTGTGTGTATTTTGTTTGTTAGTTTTTAAATAAGAACTACAAATCAGTCACCACAACACATGTAAGACAAAATCCTTACAGAACGAGATATCAGCATAAACATGCCATGGTAAGACAGGAATTGGATAGTTTCTCAGCTTAATTGAATGTGGCATGGATGACTCAAAATGTAAGGTACCGTAAAAGAGAAACAAAGCCCTAGAGCCCAAATTTAACCTTAAATACCATCTTTAATCCCTGCTTCTCTTAGTTCTGGATGACAATATTAGCCAAAATCTGAGTGTACAAAGGGAACAAGGGGAAACTCCTGGCCTTCTGAGATAAGGATAGATAGGAAAATGTTTGCTAACCTGCTCAGTTGCTCTCAGGGGGCTAATGTTATGCCTGCTTTCTTTCACTTCAAATGGCAGTTCAGTTTCTCATTCAAATCACATGTTTGGATCAAACACTGCCAAAAGACCCTGAAGGACAGTTCTGATTCCCTGAACTGTCTAGAGCAAAGTGAGTGTGCCATTAGCTTTTCCAAACAGAGGAGAAAAATGTAACTGGCTGTGCCATTCTCAGGACATTAATCTTAAGCTTCACAGTGGCTGTTAAAATGCACTTATTTCATTGAAAAGAAAAAGGACAGACTTTACACATAAGCACACATATGAACATACAATAAATACTGTCTTACATGTAACATAATACTTATATATTTGATTGCATTAGAAGAAATACACAAAAGGGCTGTAGAGTCGTGAAAACAAACTACTGTATATTTTGTTACAGTTTTATTGTTTTTTCTCAATAATAAAATACAACGTTAATAAATACATTGATACAAGGTAAGTAGAGTGAACAACAAAATAAATGTTCAAATTGCAATAATACACTTATTGGTCAATAGTATAACATTAAAGGCAACATTCCTTGTAAGTAAGGACATAGTGAACCATCAGGTAAGAGTTCAAGATCAAGTAATACAGGTAAACAAGTTTTTTTTTCCCTACACAGGGGAATGAAGGCAAGTTTTCAAATATAAATACAAACATCAAGTCTGCAGTACAATCCATACTCTGTAGTTCCGGCAATGTACCATACATTCTCTAGTAATTAATTTCTTGTGCTTTGTAAACCATTAAGATAAAATAATTTAAAAAAATATCCAAACTGAAAATAAGCTTTTTCTCCTCTAAAGTGAAAGCAAAGCAGTTAGGTTGGCACAAAAATTTCTGTACCCTTCAGGCAGTCCAAGGAGGAGACCGTAGGTCCAGCTTTCCATGGCAAAGCTGAGCTGCTTTCATTAGCAAGAGGTCAGCAAGAGCAAAACTGTAATTCCTCCCTCATTAATTAGACCCGGCCAACTGTATCTTTACAAAATGTATGCCGGAGTCCTGGGAGGCACTTTATCTTCCGTTATTGTGTCAATATGGTCAAGGAAATCCTTGCCATACATACCTGGTCAGATCAGTTAAGACCAGAGGCTGTGTGGAACCCCTCCTCTGCCTGGGCATGACCTGGACAGGAGTTTTACCTCAACACCTGCCAGTCTCTTGGAGGTGTGGTACAGGACCTGTGCAGTACATTATCAGCTACCATGCCATACTTAGTACAAATTCTTTATATTACTCTCCTTTTCATTCTCCATTAAACAATAGAAAATACAAATGAAAGCAGAACAAAAGCCACACATTTTGAGCAACACATGTTAAGCTAGAAGCATATACCTACAACAGAACAACTGATAAAATAACCTATCAACTGCATAAGCGTCATTGTAGAGCAGTAGAACATGTAGTAGTCAGTCCCCCTGCTAAACAACCTGGTTTTTGGTCTTTCAAGGAAAAAAAAATAGAAAAACCTTTTCATACTTATGAGCTAAGAGGAGAGCTGAATTTGTTTTATCTCAAGTCAATAGAGGAAACTGTGATAAAGTACACTTAAAGTGATTTTTGTTTTTGTGCTAAGCTCACAAGAAGTTATTTCCTCAAACTCTCTCTATGGCTGATCTCATTTGCACATACAAACTATATGCAGAGCTTGTGGTTTTATTTTTTTTTTTTCCCTTCTTAAGTCTTATTATTAACAAGCAAACAAATATTTGATTTTTTTTTTTGCTTTTGCTTTTGGGGGTGGAGGGGGGTGGTTTGAAGCGAGTCTACAAAGACTGCCACCAGCATTAGACTCCAAGGTGAAGGGACAGAACTCTACCAGCCACTGGGAATACCACACTACCAGTACAGATAAACTCAAATACAAGCTTTTTGATACTGGAAACTCTACACCAAGAGGTTAGTGAGCAAATGCCACTCAGTAGGAGGCACCTTTGACTCTATCAAAGTATTTTGGAGAGTGAAGGACCTGTAAGTTTGATGTGACTAATATGAACTGGGGTCTCAGAGGAACCAGAAACCAGAGCATAATCATAATTGTAACCGTTGCAGTCTTGAAAGAGATAGCCTTAGAGAAAAGAACATTAATATTTTTTGATTGTTACTATTTTTTTTTTAAATCTAAATTCTTTTGAATTCTTTTCCATTTGCTGAAATTTTCAGGGGGTCTGGAAAAAAAAAGCAAACAACACCCTGTGACAAAATGTAAAACTAGTGTTTTGAAATAAAGTTCACGCTAAACCAGGTAACTTCATAAAAATGTGTTTGTTGTTGGATGTAATCTTTCCCCCAAGAAAGACATTGGTAAATGCCCAATTAAGTAACATAACCATGCAACAGCACATGGAGTTTAACCATGCAGCTAACAGCAATGACGGTAAATGTACCTGATTATCATGAAGACTTTCTGCTCCCGGGCGAGGGGATGTCTCTTCACAAACAGCAAGACTCCGGACAAGTTTTCCTTTAGCTCCTGACTGCATAAAAGAGAAAGAACGCAAGACAGAGAAAACTCCTGCCGACCTCAATTCGCATAAGCTGCACACATCAGCTATTCCTAAACATCCCAAATAACTGGTATATACCCACCCAGAAAAACCTTAACTGTCTTAGATGTAACGTTGTAAGCAATGAGCCACTTGCCACATATGGAAGGTGGTAGTTTTCTTTTTGCTTTTAATAATTTCTGTTGCAGTTTGCTTACTTCATCTAAGTCCACGAAATAATTGGAATAGTTATTCCAATTCAAAGCTAATTCAACATAAAGTATAACTCAAAGGTTCTCTATTTTTTTTCCTTCCAGTAACATTATACCAAAGGAATACAGACAGTAAAACCTGCAAATTTTACAGACTCGGCACTTGAAAAATTGAAAGAAACTTCCCCCCCATGCTCCAAGAAGATTCTTTCCCCACCCCACATCTCCCCAGAGAGCTAGTCAGTCTCTGCTCCTTTACAATGAGATTACACCATTAAAATCAAATTCAAACAAAAACGTTAACTTCTAAAGCAAAATCAGTGATTTTTTTTCTTCTCCACTGGTGCACTCAAACACACATGCTGTCTAACAAAAGCACACACAAGCTCAGCAGCACGAAGGCACGATGGATAAAGGGGAGACTGTCATAGCTTAATCTAGAGGAACTCTTCTGCCTTTGTGCAGCAAGATTATGGGGTAAAAGGAAAGACAAAATGAGAAAGGCAAGGAAAAAAATACAACCACTTGATGAAAGTCCAACATTTCAACTGCAGACAGATATTTGATTGAAATTCTTTATCCTGCCATTACACCCCAGCATGCAATTCCAAACAGAGATGGACCATTACCTTGGATCTCTTTTTCTGCTGGTTCTGGTTTGCACCTCGTTTCTGGTCATAGGAAAAAAAAAAAAAAAGCGCAGTAGTTATCATTTCAGGGGAAAATGTGCATGACAAGAGCATTACCAATAAATAAAGAGATAAAACCACTCCTAGAATTCTATTTTAATGAGGTGCTGATTGCAAAAACAACTTCCCCAAACCCAGTCCGGAAAACAGGGAGAACAGAGAATCATCTCTGCTCACTTTATTCATTTAAAAACATGTATAATAGCAAAAATGTTGCATAGTGATTTGCAATTTTTGCATATAATAAAAGGTACAAGAAAAGGCATACTGTAAATGCTCCCCCTCTCCAAATTCCTCTTAAATTGTAGTCTCCCCCTTTATTTTATATTCCACTGAGAAAAAGGATTTAGACCCCCCTCATCTGATAGTCTTATTAAATTACCTTTTTAGGCTTTGCATAACAAGTTTTTGTAGGCAGTAACACCTACAAACCAAACCACACATTAAGTAATTATTTATTAGTATTACCTCTAAATTCATGAGATCAAGGTAGTTTTCTAAATCCCCAAAGGGAAAACAGTCAAATATTTCACCAAGCTTTAGCACAGATGTGTAGGAATTAACTTCTCAGAAAAATTAGTAACATGGACAGCAGCCTAAAGAGCTTGAAAGGTGTAAAAAATATTTATTTTATAGGGAGATACAAGGACAAAAATTAAAAATAAAAAAGAGACCATCTAAAATTATGAGAGAAAAAAATAGAAGCATAGGCAACGGAAGAGATCATAGAAATGGAAAGGCAAGCATAACACATTAATACGTAATACACACATTCACTTTTCGTGTCTTACCTGCAGCTCTGTCTTGGCATCACTAAGCTTTTCCTCCTTTTCCTCTACTTCTGAGCTTTCAGATTTATTAAGAATACAGTTGTCTGGGGTCGCTTCAGAGAGGGCAGACTCCTGTTCTTTCACAGCTTCCTCTGCTGTTTCCTGGTTCAATTTACCTTGTTCAGACATTCTTCCAGACAGAAATTAAAATAACAAGATTTGGTGACCTGAAAGGTCAAGATACCACAACACAAGAACACATAAAACAAAACACCAAGAGTGAATTTTTATTTTACTTTTTTTTTTTCCTCTTCCCAAGCAAGTTATTTAATTCCACTCAATACACAAGCCAAACCAAGCAGCTCATGATCTGAAAGCTACATATGCCCCAGGAGAAGTGATATAGTTAATCAACAATTTTGGGTAACAGCATAATTAAGTTGGGATAAACAAGCAGAGCTCCAACCTAAACAGTCTTGGTAGAAAACAGATATAAGGTATGTCACTGGGACTCCCTGCCCAGCCCACTGCAGAGGTGCAGGCAGGGATGGCGAGGGACCCTCTACAATGGAGTTCAGTGACACCAGGCAGGGAAGGACCCATTCTGCCTTCCAGGTCACTAGCATGCTAGTGCTCCCCTCCTCTAGACCTTTCTTTCTTTTAAGAAAAAGAAAACAGTCAAAAATAAAACAAAAAGTAAGCACTAACGATACCACAGCTTTTCAACCTTCAACCATGGCTTTTGCACATGGCAGAAGCCTATAGCACTCACAATTGGTTAAAAAAAAAAAAATGATGAAGTCAGTTGGAGAGGTAATAACAACATAAATAAGAAATCTAAATTTGGCAATAAAGCTCTCATGGTCAGAATTTTCAGGCATCAAACTGACAGCTCCATTATTAAAAGTCATAAGCCACTTCTCAAGCCCCATGTCACTCTTAAGCACTGTGAAAATCCTACAGGAAGCCCTTGTCAGGTTATTTCTAACGAAGATATCTCAGCTGAACTGCATTTACGCTCAGCTCACAATAGGTTGTTGTACAGAAGCTTTAAAGGCTTTTTAAAGTTAAAGCCTGTTATTATTCTCTCTCTAGCTCCCTCTCCAAGCCTCCCCCACTTATCAACTGTCAAACGAGACTCATGAATAAATTAATTTCCCCACACCCCCCCCTCATCCATGTGGCTTAAGATGCATTTTAAGAAAAACTGCAGTAGAGAAGAACAGAAAGTCTTCTGCAATATCTTGCCACTTCGCAACAATGATACAGTGGCAATTAAACAAAGCCACACATTGCCAAGTTTCTTTTTATGGCTTGTAATCAACGCTCAACAGATCCATCGTCACGTACCTCCAATTTTTTAGGCTTCTTTAAAGTGAAAAAATCAAACATGCTAGTGTTTAAAACCTTACTAGTTCAAGTTTTTGCTTATCTTTTGACATGGTAAGCAAATAAAATCCTTCCTACATGATACATCAAAACACTATTTTCTTTTGAGAAGAAATATGGATTTTGCAAGATAGGAAACTACTGGTTCATAAACAAGGCAACTGGAATACTAAGCTTATAAATTCGACCACAGTAAGCCAATTCAAGCCTTGAGTTGGTCTCATTCTCCCCACCCTCCTACCCAGGAAGTGTAATGGCATTGGCTATTCTGCTGCAATAGCTGAAACCTGAAGCACTTTGATAGCATTTCAAACCATGATGAATTTCGAGACCAGGAATTGGTCTGTTAAAAGATCTTTGATTTTTTAAGGATTTACAATCAAAAATCGCGTACAAACAAGTTCTTCGTGGGCACATTATCCTGGTAGCTCATCTATATACTTATATAACATTCAAAAAAAAAAACAAACAACAACAAAAATTACAGTCATAGTTTATCAGCCACACTGAAGAAACCATTTACCTGAAAAACTGCTATAATTCCCACTGTCTTTCTAGCGTCTTCTGTTGCTTTTTGCTAGTTATGTCCACACAAATGATCAATGACAACTTGAGTCCCATGTCCCCATTAACAGTTCAGCATGCCAATCTCCATGCTGGTTCTTCAAAGAGTTTGACAGATCATCATCAACCTGGAAAAGATGAAAATTAAAAAGTAATAGTGGTAATGATCATTGTACAGCTACGGATGCAATAGATAGGACCAGTTTTCTAACGCTAATGACCAGCTTCAAGCAAATCACTTTCACAGCTTGATCCAGCTCCACCTGTCTCAAAACTGCCTGCTTCTTCTCTAATGAAGGCTAGAGCCGGCTGTTCAAGTCATAACAGCTCCTACGCAAAGAGCTAAAATTAACAATTGCATTATGCACTGAAGATTACTCACTTCAATTTTAACCTTTTTTAGTGAATTCCAGCACTTTTCATTATAAAAATCATATATACATATTTATATATAAGCTCATCTGTTTGCTTCAACAGAAATCAATGAGGGAATGAGCAAGAAAGACTTGAATGTTTTTAACTACAGCTTGTGTTACAATTAAAATCTCAATATTCAAACAGGATTGAAAAAGCAGCTAGATGCTTTTAGAAAGTGACTCCCTCTGCCAGGGCAGTAAATTGAGGTGCTTGTTTAATAAGCTGAATAAAAGTTGAAATGGTTGAGAATATGAGGAGAAGAAAAATCCCATCCCCCCAAACACTGCCAAAAATAACTTCCTTTTCAGGCTACGTGTAGAGTACATAGGAGATCTCCAGGTTATCGTCAGGGAAATAAACCTGAAGAAAGAGTTGCCTCAGCAATGTAATATATGCTGCGCATCAGGACCATGTTGGCCAGCTGAAGAACTGGTCTGACAGAAAAGGAGCACTTTGGGACAAATCAGATTTACAAGCCATGGCTACATGCACAAAAACTACAGATAGGAAGAAACCCACAGCACTCTTCTTGGGAAGAAGAAAAAACTGAAGACTGTTTCAAGTCTAATATTAGACGCCTTGTTTCTGAGACACGCTTGAAATTGCACCTTGTTGCAATTGCCTTGCAGTATGTTACCGTGCACAGGGGCTCACAACATTAATGTAGCTGAATTTCATGAGACAGAAACAGAATTTAGCACAAATACCAAGTCCTGCTGCCTCCAGAATCTCAGGTGCACCCAGAAAAAGAGCACACAGCTCTGTACACTTCTATAAGCCTACAAACTAACATACACAGAAGTCTTTCCTTCCCTCAACATGCTTAATTTGTGCAGAGTAATACAGAGTATGTCTTCCCACTTACTTTCTGGTATTTCCAACAGGATATTTTCAGTAAATTTATCTGAGAAATATACTTTATTGATCACTATGAGAGTGCCAAAATAACAACAAGGAAAGTCATGCCTAAGCAATCAAGTGTATGTAAAAACAGACTTCATGGAGCCAATATCCACCCAAATCAAAACAGACACACAAACAAACAAACAAAAACAGGGAAGAAGAAAAAAACACACACACACACACACACAAAGAAACCCAAGGAGATACAGTGTGTTACAGTTTCACCTATAAAACAGCCAACCAGAGGAGATAACATGCAATCAAAAGCTTTCAAAACTAATCCTAGAAATAGGTAATCTGTACCAAAATCAGAAAACAAAAGATTATTTCAGGATCCTTCAGCATTACAAATTAACCTTTCATAAAGCAAACAAACAGAGCAAAACAAAAATAGGCTACAAACCGAACAAACAAAGGGTATTAGATCCAGCAAGTGATCTGCCAAGGCTTCAATAAACAGCATTTCTGGTCCTGCGCTACAGATGCTCAACATAATCTTATCATGCTTTACCAAAGACATATTTCTTCATAAACTGAATTCCTCATATTGTTACACTTAAGATCTCTGATGCCAACATAATTTTTCATTGTCAATCTATGAGAAAACCACAGAATCTTAAGTTAAAACAACAACAACAAATCCTGTATATTTTCCCAAGAAAAAGTGGGAAAATAAGCTTACAGCGTGCAGCTACCATTTTTCAAACCTGCAATGCAGGTTTGTTCAGATGATTTTAGAAATTCCTTCAGAATTATCTTCTGAGGTTGAGAAAAAAAGGCAGGAAGAATTAAGACGTATACCTGTCAGAGTTAAGCCTTTGCCTTCTCTTAATATAAATTTCCTCCTCCTTCATTAGGCAACTTACAAGTGATGACTAACCCTTTACATACTACAATACGTAAAACTACATTTCTGGTTGTTTGGGTGGTTTTCCAAAGAGACTCAGATTTCTACAAAATGCTTCAGGGAGTATATAAATAGCAAAAAGGCATCATAGCAATCAAAAGGCAAAATAGGCATTAAGTGAGAGGTTTTAATGGAAAATACATTTCTATTTTTTGCATGTTTCCAGGATATCTAGTTATTCAGCGATAAATGCACTTTTTGCTATTGTCAGTCCTGCAGCGACAGCACTGCCATGGAGAAACATACTGGATTATTCTCTTTCTTGCGCATCAACAGAAATGTCAGTGCTGATTTGACTGTCAAACCTTCAGCACCAAAGTGACACGAGGCTGAGCACATGCACTTGGGGTTTTGATCCTCAGGAAGAAACAGCAAAGACTGTTGCTAGGCAAAAAGCACGTTCCTCATTTGCAAGTGAGACAAATGTTATAGAGGTCTTGGGATCTTTGAAGTGGTCTACAGGAGCTTGTGACAAAATTTGAGCCTCTAATTCCTTAAAGCAATCTGAGCACTACACACAGCACTGGAACAAAACACAGGTGCACACCAAGCTTTTTTGTAGACCCTCTTGAACACAAATGATATCATCAGTTAGCAAAGAATTTATGAATGCCAGCTGATCAGAATATGTTGCAGGATGAAAATGCTATTTCTTCTTAAACAGTTTTCTTTATCAATAGGATTTTCATTTCAGAAGCTGAGGATGCTACCAAGCTGGAGCAGATACTGCCAAGGCTCAGAGGCAAAAGGATGAAGAAGGAGCATACATTCATACAACACATGCCATGTGCATTCCAAAAACAAAACAAAACAAAACAAACAAACAACAAAAAAAAACAACCCACTAAATTCAATGCAGGAGTTTAGAAACTATACCCAGAAGGTGAGCTGTCAAAAAAAAAAAAAAAGCACAGAATAGAACAACAAGCAAAAGCATTAGAAAGCCCTTCTCAATGAACATCTGATCACTGATTATCAACTGAAATTAAACAGAGGCTTCTAACAAAACCCTAAAAGCCCACCATAGGAAAGGAAGCCATTCCTGTATTAAGTACCAGGAAATATTTTCATGGTCTCAAAGGTATGGCATGCTTCTGTTACTAAAAGAGGAATTCTGAGATTCTTATGTATATATACATATATATAATATGACTAAATATTGTTGTGTCCTAGTTCAGAAGAGAAGATGAGCAGGTTTTAAGCCTAGTTTACCAGCCTGAGTTTACTAGGAGCAGGCAGCAGCTGCACACTGCCTGAGCGACAGCCAAGTTTCTTCTCCAAATAAAGCTGCCATGGCTGAGGTAGGCAGCACCTACATGTCAGGATTCTCCTCATCCCTCCTCGTGGTGGTTCTCCATTCACATGTATGGCTCAGAGGTACAAGCCCATACACTGAAATTATTGCGGTGGGAGAATTCAGAGTGCACTTCTGATCTCTGAATCTACACAGAGAATTCTCTTTGCCACTGGAAACAGATGTCAGATGATTTCCACCACACAACTTAGCGACTACAAACTGACTACAGCATTACCTTAAAATCATCTGTACACACAGCCCTCGATGTTTCCAAACTTTTGTGGTTTAAAGCATGAACTTGCTGCTATTTGACCTATACTTAAAAGTTTCAGTTTCCAGGATCAAGCAATTCTAAGGCAATCTCAGGTTTAAAACTGAAAACAAAAGCTTCAAGTCTTTGTGGTAGCTTCAAAGAAAAGCTTTAGAATATAAACCCTATTAAAAAAAAAAAAAAAAGCAAATAAAATCCTATAGTTTTTAGTTTTGTACACACTACTACTTATTTATCTGTCCTAGTCCTCTGAATCTACATCATTAGACCTGCAGTAGAGTACTCCTTCCTGTTTTCTCACATGTATGAATTTGTGAGCTATCCATTTAACCTTAAAAAAAAAACAAAAAAAAAAAACAAGGACAGAGAGTATTTATAGTAGAAATGTTTGAAGCCTGATTTCCCACCTCCTCATCTTCACTTTGTCTCATCTCCATCATCACCACAAAAACTGATGTAGTGATTGCCTACATTTTCTGTTCCCACATGCTACAGACCTTTGTGGATAAAAGGTGATTTAAACTTATTTATTGTTGGCATTTTAACACAGACTGTCAGATAGTACAGCCTTTCCACACACACACACCCCCCACCAGGACTGGCAGAAAAACGAACATCTCTGTAACAGTGCTGAGGCTGCTGACCCACACTAAGAAGTTCAGCAAACAGACCTCAGTGGTAACAATGGTCAAACTTAATGTAAATGGGATGAACTGAGCTATTTTGGATCGGATCCTGAGACACTCATCTCTCTTTTAGAAAGAAAACAGGAGAAGAGCAGATATGAGGAACAGCATCCCAAATGAAGCTTCTGTCTTCGGATGCATAAAGACTAGCATTAACTTTCCTCCCAACCTGCACATGAAATCCAGTATTTACAAGTTACAGCAGGGATGAGAACAGTCTAATAATCAAAAAAAGAAAGCGATTTTTTGTGATTTCTACCTGATTCTGTATTTCAGAGATCCTCTTGCTCCTAATGTCACCAATATTTTCCACTTTAATCCCCTGTCAGAAGACCTCACGTCAATCTCACCATCTTCAGTCAAGTAATAACGACCATGCTCCCCCTAGCTTGTTATATTTCTACAAAGCTAGAAGGTCTGACCAGGAAAATAAATATGCACAGCCTACAGGAAAAACCTGTTTTCATGCATAATAAAAGACTTCAAAAAAGAAGAAAAAATACCCACACATTTTTCTGTCATGATGACCATTTGAAGTTTTCCAGGATCAGCATGAGAAGATGCTTTGATTGAACTGGCTCATAAATGTCAATCTTACACATTTGTCAGAAGCTGAGTAACACAAACTTTTAACGAGATAACCAAATGTACCAGTCAGCACCCCTGGAAAGAGTTGTACACTTTAGTCCAGCATTCAACACAGAGTCATGCATGTCAAACACATGCCAATTTGTATCTCATTCCCAGACATAATCCTGACAAATTTCCCTAAAACCAAAATCATTCAACTAACTGGTCAGGTTCTCAGTTGGCAGAAAGCAGTACAGCTCTCGTGACTCCAAACACAGACAACATGGTTCCCAACCAAGTCATCTGTCACTGCACAAAAGCTCTCTTTCTCAAATTCTATGAGTCCAACAACCGATATAGGAAAATACACAATTCAAATGGAAAAGGGGACCAAAACTCCACAATTATGACGTCTTTTTCTTACCTATCAAAGGCAATCATAACACAAAAGTCCTCTTTATAGACTGATGAACTTTATTTCAAGGTTCAGAGGGGGACTACAGAGGACACTGTAGTAATCTGTCAAGATGTTCAAGAACCTCGCTGCCTTAGCAGGACACCCTTCTCCACTACCCAGCTGTATACAAATCTTTTGTACGTTTTTCTTCTTGTACCAATACAGGTTCTTTATTTAAAATTGCTTTTCTGATTTCTTGGTATTTTTCTTGTGCTGTGGGAAATAACTGTAAATCACCTCATTCACTGCTGTTAGGCTTAAAAAAGCCAACTCCTTTTAATTGGCATATAAACAGGTATACACCATTTCCATTATTACCTGCATCTACTGTGACTTCTACCAATTGACAGTCTACTTCAGCCATTCCTTACACCTCTCTCCTACTCTTCCTCCACCAGGACTGCATTCTGCTTTGTGCAGGCAGAACTCCTTCACACCCTGCAGCATAGCACTGAACACACTAGAGGAGCTCCTTTTCCACAAATACTAAAAACAGTTTCAGACAGTGATTATCATAAGCAATTGCAGACACGGAATGAATACTTATGGTTTCAATATGAAATGCTGATCAACAGCACAGCAGAAGTTACTGACTTCAGTCAGAGCTACTGCAGAGTCCAGGAGCTGTAACAGAGAGACTACAGGTATCCGGCATGTTCTAGGGGAGAAAATTCAAGCTGTTTGTGGTAAACTGGGATTGCTGTTATAATAAGATCTGAAAGAATATACAGCTTAGTTTTATTTCTTTTAAAAAATATATACATTTTAATTTAATGCAGAAGTTCTTAAAATCTGTTTTGGTTCTGCAAGTCAAGCTGTGCTTCTTGTACCTTCAATACTTTCTCTATTTATTTTTTTAATCCATGCATTAAATCCATTTTGCCTTACACACAGTAAACTAAAAGCTTAGCTTTACTTATTCCTTTATTCAATTCTTCCTAAAGCGTAAAAACAAACGTTCTCTGAGATCCCCAATCTATGTTAGCACACATCTTAAGACAGGTACTGATATCACATTACGTTATTAGCAACATGAGTACAATTAAAAAAATCAAGCAAAGCTACAAAAATGAAGCAGACAGGTTCAGGTATGCTTTACTGGCACAGTAAGGGTTAGCAAGAGGAAGAAATCCTCTCCAAAAGCAGTTACAATTGTAACAAGAGAAAAGGCAAAAGCCCTGGTTTACAAAAGCAGCAGTGCCAGTTCCTAGAGTGGATTTGTAGCTTTCGCTGCTGACAACATCTTGCCAGAAATCCTGTGGTTTCTGCATTATGTTTGACTTTTCCAGTAGGTAATTCCAAACTCCATGTGATACTGTGAACAAAAGAAGAGGCAGAAAAAGCATTTGGATGTCTATTTGTGTTTTTCTGGGAAGAAATTACAACATACGTATGAGAAAGAGAGCTAAGTAGTTTTGTTGAAAATGTATCTGGCCACCCCAAATATACCCAGCCAGAAAGCTTCACGACACATAAACTAATAAAAGAGCAATGAATACACAGCAGAAATCAAACTTTCAGGCCAATGTCTCCAAAGAATATGTCCTATTAAATTCCAAGTAGAAAAGTACATATTTTTATCAAAAAGTACATTCAAAACAAAAATCAGAAAAAGTGAGATTTTTTGAGTACTTTAAATCTTGTTATACAGATTGAAGTCTCCACAAGTTTGAATACAATAATAAAAAAAAAAAACTCTATAATGTCCAAAATTGTATTTACCTGCTGTGAGACAATCTGTCTTACTTGGCACTAGAAACCACTAACTACATCAATAATCTAAAAATACTGAGGTTTAAATTACAGAATAGAAGTACAGGACAGAAATTCTACAGTCCATAATATATTCTATTTCCATGGCTGAATGGCTGCATCGTCTCTCTCCACTCCCCCTACAGCCCCCCAGCCCATTGCTGTGCTACGTATCAGAGAAGAACAGCAATCTGATTATAAAGCAGAACACTGAAATCGTAGAATGGAATATATATTAGTAAAGGTTAAAGAAAAAAAACAGAGGTACTCTCACTGAAATTTTGAAACTGTTCATAAAATGAGTTAATTTCAATGTGTAACAATCAGGTGATGCTTTATAAATTTAATTAGTACAGCACCCAATGCCAGATAGAAATCAAAATGCATTACACGCATCCTTCATAGACCAATGCAATTAGTAGTATTTGTGTTTTCTTTTTCAAAAAAGAAAATGCCAAAGAGAATGTTCCACAAACTACATCAATTTGCTGGATGGCGGAGGGATTAAAAACTTGCTGAAGCACTCAACCACATAATCCAGTAATTTTTTTTTCCTCTCAACGTTAAAAAAAAACAAAACATCTGTGAATGGAATACTGTTCGCCAATTTAATTGTATTATGAGTCTAGCATGACCTCCCCCTTGCAAGAACTGAAGCCAGAAGACAAGAACTTTTGCAGAAGACAAAATCTGTTTGGCCAATATTTCTTAAGATATAATACTATGCTTTTGAGCCTCGGGATTTATTCTGATACCTTCAAGATATCCAAAGACTGATGAAACATGACACAATTATGAGAAAGGACAAGTCAATAATCACTCTGCTACTGTAAGCCTGGTTCTGAGGAACTGTGAGCCTTCTTGCAAATCAGCCTCCTTAATAAAAAAAGGCCTTACCCTAAGCATGTTTTATCGTAACTCATCTAAGTGCAATGGACGGAATTTATGCCCTTGTCTTTTCTTTTGGCATTAAAAATTATCTGCTTGAGAACTTTCTGCAAAAGACAAAAGAAGTAAAATTATCATCCTACATGTTTTGCTTTATTTATAGTTTGTAGCAAAACCAATCTTCTGATCAAATATTGCTTTAAAACACGTATCTACTGTACTAGTTCAAACTGAAAAGGGAAAGAGGGAAAAATCACAGTTTCTTATAACAGAATAAAACCAGCAACTATTTCAAATACAGCGTTATACGAGTCACAATATCTCCAAATTCACAAAATGAAATTTGGTTTATAATTATTAAACAAAAACAAACAAATAGTAAATAGGTTCCATTCCAGTATTTGGTTAAAACACCCAGGGAACTGTTAAAGACAGGTGCTGACTATAAGCATGCTTACAGATATTCCACTTTAAGCAGATATCTACAGGAGCAAGTGTAAATAATCACAAAGAGGCAAGTGTTCTGAAGATTCACCGGACTTACAATAATGCATGACTTTCAGATAAATCTGTATGATAGAATGAAACTTTTCACCCTACTATAGAAATGAAAAAAATTGCAGTATAAAATACCAAGCATTTTCTTAGTGTAAGAAATATTTCAATAAAATGAGCAACTACCCAACAGTATGAAAATTATGGCAATATCTGAAAACCTAAGGGAGGACTTGAAAAAATAATTTAACAATGAATACATTTTAAATTAGCTTCAGCTTCCTCTAAAAGTTACTTATTTTCCAAAATATTTCCAATAGAAAGAGGTTTAATTATTAAGCAATGTTCTCTAAATTCTCCTTAAAATAGAAAAAAAAAAAATCAAGCTGACATTTCAAGAATTCTTTTTTGCTGAAAAGGAATGGCAAAGCTGCATTTTTTTTCCTTTTGCTATTACCTAGTATTCTATGTTGTGTACCTGATCAGTCACAGGCTTTATAAATCAGCATTGACATTTAAACACATGTGCAATATATACAGAACGACCAGACAACTGTCTTATTCTTCCCTTAAAGTGCAAGAGAAAAAGAAGTTACTTAATAAAACCATTGAATTAAAAAAAATAAAAAATAAAATAAAATAATTAAAAAAAAAAAAAGGAATGTAGCAGCAAGCTCAGTGCTTTAATTTACTTTCAGGTAGGACGATAGCCACCATGAGTCAGAACACCTGAAGGCACAGTCTAAGATGGACTCTAAAAAAAATATATATAGATAAGTGACTTGTATTTAGGAAAAAAACATGATTTAGGAAGGACCAAGAACAAGCCCACCAACAACTCATGTAACTGCACCACACAGGCCAACGTACCACAGGCTCAACCAAATACCACAAGTGAAATTTATTTCAAGTTAAAAATCATGCCAGAAAAGCCCTGATCCTCTTTATGAGGATCATGAATGGAGATCTGAAGCCACCTCACACTTATGATCTCGGCAAGTGTTACGCCTAAGGAATATTTTGTTGTTGTTGTTCGTTTTTTACATCAGTGGACAACTAAAGAGACAACATACCAAGGACCAGCCATTTCTCTTCTTTCTACCCCCCTTTTGAATTTTGGTTCTCATGAAGAGAGCTGTTGACTTGCACAACCAGCTCGTAGAAAATAAGCATGCAACCTGAGATCTCCCTGAAAGTATATGACCATAAAAGCATTTGCTTTTATTGACGACTTCACCTTGGACTATAAGCAAGGAGTCTTGAAGTTGTGGCTGTCATAGTTAATATATCATGATACATTCTTCCAACACCAATCCAAGATTATCAGCAGTTGCAAATACAGCACCTCTGAAATGAAAGGCTGCAGCTGCTTTTCAAATTCCAGGCATGATCTTGAAGTCTAATTTGTGATTTTAACATTACAAAATTAAATGGATTGCATCTTTTCTGATGAGGGGAATATTTTTAATCTGTGTTTACCCAGCATCCTCCACAGCAAATTTTGAAAGGAGCTGCTTAGAACTACCATAATACAGTGAACAAATCCACCAGCCAGTATGAGACAATAATGCAATACGTACATTTAGGGACAAAACCAAATCTCTTAAAACTGTAACAGTTATATCAACATCCTGTTATCAATGCTAAACTGCATTTTCTCAAAATGTAGGATAACAAAGACTCTTAAGCACTCATTAATGTCCAAGGAAATATGGACACCTAAGTACTTTAGACCCTTATCGAAATCCCAGCTTCTAGTCAAAGATACAGCAAAACAAAATTTCTGCACCTCAGTTTCAATAACAGCAAACTGAACAAAATCATTTCAAATAGAATACCCTGCTGATGATTACAAATTGCCATGTTGCTCCATGCAAATTTTTCCCAATTTCAACAGGAGTCCTAGAAAGATGATGACAGCAGAAAGCATGATGAACAAAGTAACGCTGACTGCGTAGCTATCTTCTTCAACTGAGCAGAAATAATCAGACCCTCACAGAACCAGTTTCAGGTCAATCTTCCAGAGTGTGTAAGCTACTTCATATAGCTAACTAAAACACTCAAACATTGGAGAGCCAAACTGAACAGGATAAAGTAAAGATGAGACTGGAAGCAAGCTAAAAGCTGACAGCCTAGGAATCCCACAGCTGGACTGGAGGGACCAACGCTTGCTGTGCCGCCAGGGCATGTTGGTGATGTTAGCTTCAGTAGACATTGTGGGTTTACTTCCTCACTGTTCTAAGTTTTAATAATCTCCTGACATCTACATGGTGTAATCTTGACACAGGAACTGTACTGCGGGACAAGGACCAAAGGCTGGCTAAATTGCAAAATGGTCCCATAACTTCTGGTTAACAAAATAAAAATATAATTTAAGCATTCCTTTGCTTGTATCTGTAAGCCAAGAAAGCAGTATTTCAATCTGATTTTCAAAAAAAAAAAAAAAATTATCAGAGA